GGGGGGGTGTGTGGGGGGTGGTTGGAGGCAGTGGGCTGGCCATTCCAGGAGAAGGGAGACTTTCATGTTGCTGCAGGTGCCTGCTTCTAACCTATCTGCCTCCTTTCTGGGTCTGAGAGGTGGGGTTGCTAGACACCTTGGCCTCAGGCCATTGCTGCTGAATGGCACGTTTCTGTGGGGTAAGACCACATTCATTCACAACCTAGTGGTGGATGTGTGTGCAAGACCTGGCACACATCACTGAAATGATGCATGGTTGGGCACGGACATGGATATAACCCTGTCCAAGATTTACCCTCCTACATTTGATTCAGCAGCCCCAACGCCAAGGTCAGGAAGGTGATGTTTGGTGACACCTTAACTGGGACCAGATCTGCTGCTGAATAGATAGCCAGGCAGGAGTGTCTGCATATGAAGTTGGGCCACAGGGTCAGACTAGGGCTGCTGGTTGTGTACTGACCACCCTGCTACCCAGAAGCAACCTGCCTGAACAATCAGACCTCATTGCCAGGTTGGTGTTGGAGTCCCAAGGTTATTAGTAATAGGGGATTTCAGTCTCTATGCCCTGAGTGTGGGACTCAAACAGGACTAGCATGGCAGGGGCTCCATGGTAACCATGGGCTTGTCCCACATGACTTCTGGGCCTGACATATATAAGTAACCATATATTAGTTCAGGTGTTGACCTCACAGCAGATGAGATGTGACCAGGAGTTGGAAGACAAGATCATCAGGTCAGATTATTATCTGGTCAATATGTGGATTATGCTCTATCTCTGCAAGGGTGGGGAGCCAATTAGGATGGCCTGATGGACCCTATGTATTTTCTGAAGCTGCTTGGAGATTTTCGCAGGCATCAGGAAGGACGCTCTGTCACATGGAACATTTTGAACTCTGGAACTCAGAGACAAGAAAGGTGTTGGACAAGACTGCTCCCATGTGGCGTCTCTCTAGTCACCGATCCTAGGGTGCTTCTTGAGTAATCAAGGATCTCCAGAAGCTGAAGTGACCAAAGAGATGCCTAGACCAACATATGGAAAATGAAGAGTGAATGCAACTGAACATGGCGGTGTTAAGAACAGATTCTTGTCCAGTGCCTCATTCAAGGTTATCCATACCCTTCTGGGGAGGAGCAGGTGGGAAGGTTTTTTTCTTGTAGGCTGCTGTGATATGCTTGTAAGATTCTTTGTGGATAACATTGCTCACATTCACTCTATCTTGGATACCATTTGATTTGAGTCCAGCAAGATTAGTGAGGTTATGTCTTGAGAAGTCATCTGGGATTCTTTTGAACTCACAGAGTCTAAGGAAGCAGATAGGGGTTTTGGTAGCATAAGACCCTTCACTATGGGTTGGACCCAGCAACTGCATCTTGGAGAGGAAAAATGCCTCTTTAGTGGGGGGTGTAGAACTATCTGCCTTGATGGAGGCAGTGATGCACCCCTCCTAGCAGGCTATGTCTCAAGCCAGCAATTTTAGACAACTTTTGCCCACTTTATAGTCTTCTCTTTGGGGGAAGATTTTTGGAGAAGATAGTCTGGCTTCAACTGCCAAATAGCCTAGATGAAATGGATTACCTAGTTCCCTTAGAGTCACGGTTCAGATTTGGACATGGTCACTCCAGTCTATGATCTTCATCAGGATCCAGATGAAGGGAGTGCACTTCTAGTCCTATGGGACCGACCTCTTGGTGGCATTGGATACTATAGACTATGGTATTCTGGACCACTTGTGAGGGTTGAGGGCATCATTTTATGGTGGTTCTGCTCCTTCCTGAGTGGGCATTTCCAACTTGTAGTTGTGGGGGAGGAATAGTTGAGCTTGTACCTATTACAAAGTGGGGGTACCATATGGCTCGGCTCTCTTCCTGATGTTATTTAACATCTACATAAATCCATCAGTTTGGGGTGAGTTATCATCTGTATGCTGATTATATTCAATTATATTTCAATATCCAAGCAAAGCTGGAGATAGAGTGAAAGTTAAAGGTTAAAGGTTGTGAGGGACTAGATGGGGGAAAAAAACATCAAACTGAATCACAGAAGATGGACATGCTGTTTGTAGATAAACAATCTTTTCTCAATTTCTTAGATTAATTCTAAAAGGGTCACACTCTCCCTAAAAGATCAGGTCTGTGACTCAGGGTTCTCATGGTTCCTGCTTGAACAGTAGATGGAGGCCATGGCTATGGGAACCTTTGCACAGCTTCAACTGATCTGCCAGTTGCAGTCCTTTTTTGATGAAGAAGTCCTTATGATGATGACGCATGCTCCTGTTGCCTTGCAATTAAACTACTGTAATGCACTCCGCATGAGGCTGCCTTTGAAGATGATTCAGATTGTGACATTCCTGCTGCTGATGGAGGTATGTTACTTCTGCACCGCACCATAACATCTGTGCAGTTGTTACTGCACTGGTTGCCAGTAGGTTTCTGGGTCAAATTCAAATAGCTAGTGTTAATCTATAAAGCTCTAAATGGCTCAGCTCCTGCTTACCTTGAGGCCCATCTCCTCTGTAAGAGGAGGCCCATCTTGTAAGGGTTCTCAAAAGTGGATGCATAGGATCTCTACCCCACAGGTGAGCAAGGGGTATGGGGCCTCGAGATAGTCTTTCTTGGAAGTAGCCCCAAATTGTGAAACAGCTTACCCCTTGAGGTCCAGTTCATCCCCAAATTGTTTTTTTTTTTTTTTAAGGAGACTATTAAGACAGCCCTTTTTTCAAGAGGTATTTGGGCACTATTGGTGGTAGCTGAATTTGTCAAGCTGAATTTCTGTTTTCTATTTTCTGTTTTGTTTTTTAATTTTATTCTGATCACGGTTTTTATAAAATCAGGGCTGGAAAGTGGCTGAGGTTTGTTTGTTTGTTTTAAATATTGCTGTGTATTTTATTCTATTTGTTCTTGTAAACCACTTCAAGTCAGTGTGCTGTGGTAGTATATAAGTACATGTAATCAATAATAAAGAAATAAGCCTATCTGCATTATCAGAACAAGTCAATACAGCAGGCTGCCTCCTCTTTTCTCCACAGTGATGCCAACATTGTGCACAACATAGGTTCTCCTCTCTATGGATACCCAACTTGACCCAAATATAACATTTACTCCCTACCCCACAGTTTTCAGAGATGAAGCCAGACACTCACCACTTTAAAGTCAGCGGGGCTACATGGCTCCCCACGGAACAAGCAGGAGAGCAGCATCTCCTGGATATCATGGCCAGCCCGGTCCGAGAACTCCCGCATGTTAAAAGGTTTGGGCTTGAAGTTGCGGAAATTTGCCTTCTCCTGCAGGATCTCCAGCTGTTTCTCATCAGCCATTTGGGTGTCCGGAATCTCATACCTGAGAAGAAAACCAGAGCGTAGTCACAGTGGTTCTGTCTGGTCTCAGTTGACAGAAAAGCGCCTGAACCGCCAGTGCCCCTGTGCAAAGCATCTGTAATATGGTCAGATGGTCAGATAGATGCAGGAGGTACCCCTGGGACATCTCAGTTCCAGCAATGAAAGCATCGTGTAATTAAAACCTAATATTGAGACTCTTCTGTGAAGATAAGCAACTGTTCTTCACTCCTTGCAAGATTAACCAGGCATTTTCAGATTACATAATTACCCTTAAAAAAGGGAAAGAAACAGCCACTTGCCACTGATGGAGCTTTTCCACCCTCCAAAGGCATAACACATTTTACATTAGCAACCAAGATTTTGTTCTCCTGCATGACAGCTACACACTAAAAAAAAAAAAAAGGCAGATATCGGCTGTTCCCTTCATTTTATGACAACTCGTCATAAAGAAGTGAGTGCATGTGAAACAGTGAGGGTGTACATGTACTGAGTTTATATTCTGGAAAGAGACCGTCAAAATGTTTATGCATAGCCTTGCACACACTTGCATGCATTTACCCTTCACAGCCTGTGGATGTTTAATACCAGTACGCAATTGTGTCCGCTTCATTAACAGCAGTCAAGTCATGTCTCTTTGGGGAATCGAAGAAGTGGTTTCAATACTTCCTACTTCCCCAGGGCACAGGATGTGCCAGCTTTAATGTTTCAACCCAGGCTGCTCCTTCATTAGTCTGCTTGGTGGATGAGGATCATCCTCTGCAAGGATAGCGTGAGCGCGGAATGAGGCCTGAGAAGGAAAGTGTGAGTATCGCAGGACAAAAACCTAACAACATGTTTTATTAGAGCAGAGATGTGGAATTTCAGCTGGCTTGAAGCCTGCACCAGGCTTTATACACAATGTCAAAAGCCATGTTCCAAATGTGGGAGCAGTCAAGTTGAGATATGGTAGTGGTGGGGCATACAGGGATGCATCAGACGGTTTAATGGGTTTCTTCTGCAAGGCTCAAGGCACCTACTTCCTTTCTT